CCAGCATGACCCCAGGCCTCAGAAGTGGGGGAGGCAGAGGGCTGTGACCTGATGCCTTCCGATTGTTTCCCATCCTAGGCTGAAGATGGAATTCCTAAAACCTAATCCCAAGAGGCCAAGGGGACTTCCTGCTGCAGCCTCCCTCAAAACCTCTTCCTTAGACGGTGGCACAGGAGGGGCCAGGAAGATAGCTCAGCAGAATAAGTGCTTGCCTGGCAAGCACAAGGGCCTGAGTTCAATCCTCGTCCCGCAAAAAAAAAAAAAAAAAAAAAGGCGGCACAGGAGATGGTAATGAGGTTGCAGAAGCCACATTCAGGCCAGTGCACCAGGTGGGGGGGATTCATCAACGTACAGCTGAGAATGACAAGGCAAAAACTCAAGTGTGGCTGTTGGCACAACAGGAGCAGAGGCCCAGCACCTTCCCTGCCTAAATACCATCACTGAAGATACCAGTGTCACAAGAATGACCCCAACTGGCTGGGGAGACAGCTTGGAGGGCTAAGCGCCTGCCTGGCAAGCAGAAGGACCCAAGTCAATCCCCAATGCTGCATGCCGTGCCAGCCCCACAACCCTGGGCAAAACTGGGTGTGATGGCATATGTCTGTAATCCCAGTGCTGGGAAGACTAAGATAGGAGGATCACTATGAGTCCAAACTGTGGTGACCCTGTACCAAATGAAGAAAAAAAAAAAAGGGCTGAATCCAATGCTGCAGCTCAGCTGACCTCTACACAGTACAGGTACCAGGTCTGCCTGTGCCAGGCCTGGTCTGTCAGCACCTCTCTATCCCAGTGCCAAGTCCACTCTGCTTCCTGCCCACAGCAAGGACACTCCCCAGAGAAACACCTGGTCTCATCCCACTGGAGCTGGACTGCAGGGCTGCAGACTACAAGACAGTGAGGCTTTTAGGAACAGGATGGGGAAAGGCCCTCAGTCTGAGCCAGCAACATCCCAGTGTCCATGTGCCCCTAGGGACCAAGGCTAAAAGAGGCGCCTGCCTCCTTATGTGCACACTGCTGACACTGTTACCATCGGTGCTGTACATACTAGAGCTCAAGCCTCAGAGTGCCTTACAGAATGATCACTGCCTGGGTCACATAAGTGGTGGCCCCAGAGCAGTCAGCAAGGAAAAGCATGGCTGCAGCCAGGACCTGACACTAGACCCAGAAACCTGAATTAATTTTGGAGGAGGGAGTAGCAGCTGGGGTAATGCTGCAGAGCTCACTCCATCCTGAGATGTGGCAGCACTGACCCAGAGGGCAAGACCCTGGTGGGCACTCCTGTAGAACTCATAGGGCTGGATGCTAACCTAAGCTGCGATGCACAAGCCTCCCATCAAATGAAGTAAGGCAGGCTGAAAGAACAGTGTTTTTTTTATGGTCCCATTTATGTGAGGTACTCAGTCCAGTCCAACTGAGATAGCAGAAAGGTGGTCATGGGGAGGGGTGAGGGATTGTCTCAGTGATGAAAGATAGGAGGGACTCACTGCCAAAGGCCCACTTGGGATGCTGTAAGGGTACAATGTCAGTGCATTTTACTACAATGAAAATAAAAAAGCAATCTGTACCAGGTTGGCACAGTGGCCATGTCTTAATATATGCCAGAAGTCTAGATCTACGGCTGCAGAGAAAAAGGTGAAATCCTATCAGGTTGGGTAAGATAAAACTCTTCTAATAGAAATCTGCGAAATGATGCTTTGTTGTTTTGTTTTGTCTTTGAGATACATTCTTATTAGTCACTAACTTGTTCAGACTGGGCTCCAATTTATGATCCTCCTGTCTCAGCCTCCCGGAGTGCTGGGATTGCCAATCTGATTGCCTACCACACCAAGGAAAAAGACCTTTTTAGGTTTTTAAAAAAATTTTAAAAAATAAGCCTTATCTAGGTTCACTCCCGCTTAAAACATGGAAAGGGGCAAGAGAATGTTGCTCCTGAATTAAGAATAATTCAGAAAAAAACCCACTCAGAATCAACACATTTCTTGGGCCCACCCAGAAGTTGCAGTAAAACCAAACAGGCTGAACCCTAAAAGGCAATGGTGCCACCCCGACATAGATGGGATGTCCACAAACCACTATGTCAGGCACGTGGGTGCTGATGGCGGCACAACAGGACCACTGAGCTAAGGAATTAGCGCGCTCTCACACACCAGCTCTGGGTAATGCTCCACTTCTGAGCAGCTGAGTGCCCCATGATGGAACCTGCTGGCTGCCATGCTCTCTTTAGGGTGGACTGCCATTGGCACAGGGAAGGCTAGAGACCCACACTCCCACAGGCATGCATGGTGACTGGTGGCCCTGGGGACCCACCTGCTGGCCTGAACCCTCCACTCCTGTAAGGCAAAATCCATGACATTTTGCTGGAGAAAGGGTGCAAGACCTTATCTCCAAAGACCTGGTGAACACCTATTCTACTTCTCTACACTGTCCTAGGCAGTCTACATTAAATTAAATACAAAGATATTTGGAAGGAGGATGTTATATATCACGCTCACACAGTGTATAAAATGGTGTATCTGAAAGCAGTCTGAAGAGAGAGCTCAGCGGCATGAGCGCCTGCCTAGCAAGTACAATGTCCCAAGCCCCATTCTTTTTTTTTTTTTTTTAATTTTATTTATTTGTGTGTGTGTGTGTGTGTGGCCAGCTCAGCCCACCAGAGGGCGGGGCTGGCTGGCATGTGGTGCTGGGGGATTGAACTGTGGTCCCTGTGCTTTGCTAAGCTTGTTCTACGTAGGTGCTTTAGACCACTGAGCCATCTCACCAGCCCCACCAAGCTCCATTCTTGACATCAATAAAAAAGCAGTCTGTGCTGTGTTAAAGTATACTGTGAATGAACCCTAGTGCAAGCATAAACAACAAAAACAATACAAGATACGATGGACTAATAAAATTAAAAGGAAATTTTAAAAAATAAACTCAAGAACAGATGGAACAAAAGAGCAAAACTATATACTTAATCCAACTAATATTGATAATTATGTTACATACAAATTATCTATACCAATTAAAAGAAAATTCTGCCTGAATTACATAGTGAGACCCTATCTCCAAAACAAAAAGAGAAAATGCTTGTAAGGTTGGGGTTTTTTTTTTTAAAGATCCAAAAATATATGGATAAAAGAAACTTACTTTTTATTTATTTAGCGGAACTGAGGATTGAACTCAGGCCCTACCGCTTGCCAGGGAAGCACTTACTCTACTGAGCCATCTCCCTGGCCCCAAGAAACTTACTTTTTTTTTTTTTTTTTTACCGTCACTGGGGATTGAACTCAGGCCCTTGTGCTTGCCAGGCAATTGCTTATTCTACTGAGCTATCTCCCCAGCTCCAAGAAACTTACTTTAAACTGGGAAAGGTAGTACATTCCTGTGAACTCACCAGCACTCAGGAGGCAGAGGCATAAGCAAACACAAATAGCAAGATTATCTCATATACTAACAAAGAAACTCACTTTAAGTACAAAACAGGAGTTAGGCTGATGGTGCACACCTGTAATAATCCCAGCACTCAGGAGGTTGAGGCAGGAATATTGATGTGAGTCCAGGCCAGCCTTAACTATATTACAAGACTCTATCTGAAAATAAATAAATAAATAAATAAATAAATAAATAAAGCTTTATTATTTTTAAAAAATTTATTTATTTTAGGGAAGGGTCTACAGGGTGTTCAGGGTCTCACTACTAGACTGAACTCATAGTGATCTGCTTGTTTACAGCCTCCCGAGAGCTGGGATTACAGGCACACACACTTAGTCTTAAATTTGTACCTTTAAATGCTTAGATTAGAAAATAAGGAAAGTAAATGCACACCTATAATCCCAGCACTCAGGAGGCTGAAACAGGAGGTTTGCTGCAAGTTTATAGCCAGTAGGCGCACACAGTGACTTGTGTCAAAAAAGATGTTAAGAATTTAAATCAGTAACCAAGTTTCTACTTTAAGATTTTAGGGCTAGGCCTGGTGGCACACACTTGTAATTTCAACACTCAGGAGGCTGAGGCAGAAGGATAACCATGAGTTCAACGCCAGCTTGGCCTACACAGTGACTTAGGCCAGTCTGAAATACAAGGTGAGATCCTGTCAAAGAAACAAAGGAAAAAACAGTGCCGGGTAGTGTATGCCTGTAACCCCAGCATTTGGGAGGCTGAGGTAGGAGGATAACTGCAAGTCTGATGCCAGTCTGGGCTAAACAGTGAATTGAGGCCAGCCTGAACTGCATAACAAGAAACTAAACAAAAATTAGGGATTGGAGGGAAGCATTTGAGCAAATTAAATCCAAAATAAGCAAAAGGAAAAGTATTGTATTAGGAGGCAAAATAAATTTAGAACATTAAAAAACAGACCAGTGAAAATAATTGATTCTATGAAAAATCAATAAACTGATAAATCTCTAATCATATCAAGAGATACATCAAGACAAAAACTCTATGCAAATAAATGAGTTCAGATAAAGCACACTTAAGAGACATAATTTACTGAAGCTCACTTAAGAAAAATGACCTGAGTAATTATATAAACACATGCACATACTTATGTATTCAAAAGCTAAATAAAAAGTTTTAAAAGAAAATTTTAGGCTGAGACTGCTTCATAGGAAAATTCTACTAACTTTTAAATAATAATCCTAGTCAAGGGGCTGGGGAGATAGCTCAGTAGAATAAGTGCTTGCCTGGCAAGCGCAAGGGCCTGAGTTCAATCCCCGGTTCCACACACACAGTCAAAAAAAATCCTAGTCACTTATATGGCTATAATCCTAGCACTTGGGAGATTAAAGCAAAATAGCTGTAAATTTGAGGCCAGCCTGAAATATACTAAAACCCTGAGCGCCCACCCCAAGGATCATTATTAGGTAGGCATGGGTGTATCCACCCATAATTCCAGCACTCTATAAGGATAAGGTAGAAGGACTGCAAGCTTCACCCCCACCTGAGCAAATTAGTAAAACCTTCCTCAAGATTAAAAAACAACTTTCCAGACATGGCTGCGGAGCTGGGGTGGCACCAGGCAGATGGCGGAGAAGTCTGACCACATGGAGGAGCACCTGGAGAAGTTTGTGGCACAAACATGGCAGCTCAACAGCATGGCCAGCGACTTCCAGCCTAGCAGCCAGACCAGGCTCAACCAGAAGCTGAACTTCATCGTCACTGGTTTACAGGATATAGATAAGTACAGAGAGCAGCTTCATGACATTACTGTCCCTTTAGAAGTGTTTGAGGGGCCGGGGAGATGGCTCAGTAGAATAAGCGCTTGCCTGGCGAGCACAAGGGCCTGAGTTCAATCTCCGGTTCTGCCAAAAAAAAGAAGAAGAAGTGTTTGAGTACATCGATCAAGGTTGGAACCCCCAGCTCTACACCAAAGAGTGCCTGGAGAGGACTCTAGCCAAAGATGAGCACGTTAAAGGCAAAATCGACACCATGAAGAAATTTAAAAGCCTGTTGATTTAAGAGCTTTCTAAAGTTTTTCCAGAATACAAGGCAAAGTATTGAAGCATTGGGGGGGGGGGATCACCCACTGTCCTAAGTGAGCAACACCTCAGTTCCTTGTAGATTCCCAGGATGGAGCCAGTGGGGCCTGTGACTGACAGCACTAACCCTCCTCAACCATGAGAACTGGCCCAGGACTATGCCCAGTCTCACCCAGTGGGTGGATGAGCTAGAGGAAGCAAGGAGCTGTGAGCCTAACAAAGCAAAGTCACTAGAATGATGACAGCTAACAATGTGCCTAAAAAGGCTCCACTTACTGCAACTTATTTACCAAGACAAGGTATTGTGTCAAATAAAAGGGCTGAGGAAGTAGCTCAGTGGCAGAACACCTGCTCAGCATGAAGAGAATCCTGAGTTGTGCTCTAGTACTGAAGGAAAAGAAACGTAGGGCAGGCCTAGGTCTGCAGACGCTGCTCATCAGTCAAGTGTTGCCTGAGTTACTTCCTTAGGCCACCAAAAATGGTAAAAATATGGAAAATAAAAATGGACAATGAATTTGAATACCCATTTCTCAAAGCAAAAGGCCAGCAAAAACATTTAAAAATGTCCAAGATAACTACTTACTGCAGAAATAAGACTTAAAACTTCACAGTATGATGGCACACAACTGTAATCTCAGCTATTCTAGAGGCTGAGGCAGATAGGCAGATCACATGTTTAAGATCAGCCTAGGCAATTTAGTGAGACTGTCTCAAAGTCTCAAAGGCTGGTGATGTAGCTCAGTACTCCCTAGGTCCAATGCTCAGTATTGGGGGAAAAAAATATTAAAACCACAGTGAGACACCATTTCATACTACTAGGTTGGCCACAAATACTCCTACATGCTGGTGAAAATATAAATGACTTACTATAAAGTTTTACAGAATTACCATATGATCTAACAGTTCTACTCCTAGGTATATGTTCAAAAGGATTAGCTAAGTGTGGCAGTACAAGCCTATAATCCCAGCACTTGGAGAGTGAGGCAGGAGGACTGCCTGGAGCTCAAGGCCAGCCTGGACTACACTGAGACCATTTTAACAACAAAGAAAAGAATGAAACACATGCTTATAATACTATTCATGACACCCAGGCATGGATAGCAGGACCACATAAAGCTCACCAATAGACCAATCCAGTAGACTGAGCCACAAAAGGCAATCACAGGGACATGTATGGAATGATTCCCATACATGAAATAGCTTGGAAAAGACATTTATGGAAATAAATCAGACCAGCAGTTGCTAGGGGGTGGGAGGAAGAATGAGTTCTTCAGATACTGGTGTTTTTCTGGGGTGATGAAGTTTTGAAAACTCAAGAGGATTGGGGATTAAACAACTGTGAGTACATTAACAGCTACTAAATTATCTATTTTTAAAGTACTTGTGTGTGTTGTACATGAATTTCACCCAGGGGCTAGGGATGTAGGTCTGTGGCAGAATGTCTGCCTACCATGTAGCATGGGTCAGGCAGGCCCTAGATTTAATCTTTGGCATAAGAAAAGAAATAAGCACACCAGTCAGTCAAACAAAATACCACAGTCATTAAAAATAATGAGGGCTCTTTATATTGCATAGAATTGCCATAGCATCTCTAAGTGAAAAAGGCTGTAAGAATATATTACTAGCAGGAACTGTGCCACAGTGCCATATCCCTTAGAATGTATTACATAGGAGAATAATAAATGTATACTTACTCAGAAATGCAGTACACACAAAACTCATAGTAGTGGCTACCTTCAGAGAAGAAAGTTTTGAGTCCTTGGATGGCTGTGAACATAGTGGGAAGCTGTTTTTAATTAATTAATCTTTTAATGTATTTGGCACAGAGTCTCATTATGCAGCTTGGACTCCTACTGATCCTGTTTTCAGCCTCCCCAGCACTAGAATTACACACGAGTACCACCACACCTAGTTTCAGTAGCCAGTAAGGAACACCCAGGGTTCCAGGGCTATTTTGGCATGAGGTACCAGGGATCCAACTTGGGTCCTTGTGTGTGTGTCCCAGGCAGATGCTTAGACCACTGAGCTCTCTCCCCAGTCCTGTATTATTACTTTATTTTTAATTTTTTTTTTGGCAGAACTGGGGATTGAACTCAGGCCTTCACACTTGCCAGGGAAGTGCTTACTCTGAGCCATCTCCCTGGCCCTCTGTATTATTACTTTAAAAACTAAGGCCTGGTATAGCATTAACACACACTTGTAATTACCACACTGGGGAGACTGAGGCAGGAGGATAAGGCCAGCCTGGGCTATGAGTTCAAAGCCACCTTGAACCACACTGCAAGACCCTGTCTCAAAAAATAAAGTTAACAGGCTAAAGTCATAAAATTCTTATGTAAAGGGTCAAAAGTAGCTAGAACAGTTTTGGAAAATAAAAGGAGAGAAAAGATCACCACATTATCTAATATTAAACCTATATGAACACTAAACCAATTAAAGCCATGTGACAGTAGGGCACAGTAGCATATGCTTGTAGCTCTAGCACTTAGGAGGCTGAGGCAGGAGGACACTAAGTAGAAGAGTACAGTGGAACCTCAGTTCATGAACTCAATTTGTCTGAAAAGATGGCCATGTTTGTTTTTGTGGGAAAGGCCACATTCCTGTTTGTCACCTGACAAAGAGTTTGTCAACAAAAACAAAATTCTGCCAAATGCTTGTGACCCAAACTGCAATTTGATGGATATCACACAGAATTTTATCTGTGGTTTTAATTTTTACTTCCTTAATAACCACAGACAAGCATCTTTCCATGTATCACTGGCATTCTATAAATGTTTTGTACTTTTTATTGTGTACAATAGGGCATTTTAAACTTCTACCTTAATTCTGATTATTTTTTAGTCCTGCACATCATAAATAACTGGTGTCACACTCTGAATTCTTTTATGCTTTACAGGTCTTAACTTTTAAGATACTAAAGTTTCATTGAGGGCTTGTGCTTTTCATATATTAAGTTTTTTTCCCCAATCCTGAGGATAGAAAGATCATCTTGTTTCTTAAGCATAAAAAGGCCGGCTTTATTCCAGGGGCCCATGACATGACAGTAGGCACTGAGATCACAGTCCCAGGGTCTTAAGAATGGCTGACGACTGGAGCCAGCTTCCAGTCTCACCTTTTAAACTGTGGTACTTTGCATTTAGGACTCACTCACACTTGACAAATTAGTGTAATTTTGATTGAAGGTATGAGGCTGATACAGTGGTATCTTGGTTCATGAACATTTTTGTTTGCAAAGAATTTGGTTCACAAAGAAACAAAGTCAGCTGTGGTGGTGCACACTGTAACCCCAGGTTGGACAAGTTAGCAACTTAGTAAGACCCTATTTCAAAACAAAAAAATGTAAGAAAAGGGTTGCAGCTCAGAAGGTAGCTCAATGTGAAGGCCCTGGGCTCAATTCCCACACAAAGCAAAATGAGAACTAGTACCGTGGTGTAGTGGTTGATACACTGTGTCCACTTGAGGAGTTAAAAGCTTAACTAAATTGGCTCAGCAATTCTATATCCTAGGTCATGGAAGCCCCATCCTAAAGTGACTCATTACTTAAAAGGATATAAAAGGGAACGGAGGAAGGATGGAGCATTCCCTCCACCTCGGATCCATCAGGCTTCATGGTGTAGAATCATCAGCCTTCTGTTGCAGACCCAATGGCCTCCTTACATGGACTTGCATAGAACACGGCTGTGAGCTCCAGACCTTGGACTTCATGAATCTTTCAGTCTCCAGTGTGCAGATGCCCTCTGCACACTTCCTCATCTAACTCTGTGGCTGACCATCTTAAGCCAATCTTGTAATTTCTCTGATTTGTTCATCTTGTCTTGTATCTGTTCCTCTAGTAAAACCCTGACTGATACACAGGATATTGCTTTTAATATTCAGGCCAGAAAAATTCATACAGAGTATTCAACCTGTACTCATCACCCAAGAAAATTCTCTAAAACACAACCTGAATTTTAAGAAGTTGCAAGATGACACCCTTGTAATTCCAGAGAAATTCCTTATGAAAAAAACTTTAACACTGCTGTATTTTGCCATACCAGAAAGTGTCACCCTCCACTGAGTATACAGAACCTGCCAAAAAAATATGTCCACACTTCAGCAGCTTGCCATACTAATAAATGTCTGGAAGCTCATGAACACCACTTTGAGCACCTCTTGTAGAAGACAGAAATAACTTGTATTAAGCTCACAGTGTCTCCATAAATTCAGTATTTAAATAGCTATATATTTTTCCAGAAAAACTTAAAACATACCACAGCGATACATGTGCACCCATGTTTATAGCAGCACAATTTGTCATAGCTAAATCCTGGATAATCCAGATGCCCATCAACTAAAGGATTAAAGAAGATGTGGTATTTTTACACAATAGAGTATTATTCAGCTATAAAACAGGATAAACAAGTCTTCTGTTAGTAAATGGATGTGACTAGAGAACATACTTTTTAAAAAATTTATTTTTATTTGTGTGTGTGTGTGTGTGTGTGTGTGTGGCCAGCTCAGCCCACCAGGGGGCTGGGCTGGCTGGCATGTGTTGCTGGGGGATTGAACTGTAGTCCCTGTGCTTTGCTAAGCTTGTTCTAAGTAGGTGCTTTAGACCACTGAGCCATCTCACCAGCCCCTCTCTTCTTAATTTCTTATATATTTCTTTTTACTTTCTTCTTCCAATTTTATATGAAAGTATCTGGCAATATGAATAACTGGTTGGAAGACACTATGCATTACAACAAATAGTGTGAAATTCGTATTTTTGTTAAGTGCTATAGAAATATAGATGAGACAAAAGCCTAATGTCCCAAGAGTGCAGAGAACACCACAGAGCCCAAGGAGAGCTGCTGTCTGTTGTTTGTAAATTCCCAGAAAGCTGGGATTCAAAACTGCATATAACAGCTTCTGCTGCAGGTGCCCTGTTCTTTGATCCCTTGCTTGGGATGTTATCAGCTAGTATTTGTGTGGACCTAGAGTTAGGCAAATGGTGGAAGTCAATAGAGTCAGTAGTTTATATTCACTTTAGTAATTATGCACATGCCTTAGCCTGCCTTTAGCCCTCAATAAATGTGAGATGCTTTGGAGGCTCTGGGCTCACTTGGAGAGAGACTAATCTCAGTGAGACCTCTGAAGCATCATCAGGTCTTCTCACTGTTGTTTCCTTCGGCACCGACCCATAACATACAAGTGAAATTCTGTATCACTTATAATTTTACTATTTTGTACTTTTTAAAAAAATTTAAAAAGGATGCTGTATCTATAGCCATTATATTGTGAATGGCATAAAATGTTAAGGACATTTTCTTGAATATTTAAAACTGTCATCTGAGGGGCCAGGGAGATGGCTCTGTGGAATAAGCACTTCCCTGGCAAGTGCAAGGGCCTGAGTTCAATCCCTGGTTCTGGAAAAAAAAAAAAGTCATCTGATTTATCGAAGCAGTTATGCCGATCATTTTCAAATGAATAAAGTTCAAACATGTGTCATCTAAAAAAAAAAAAAATAGCTATGCAAGTTGTTTTTCTTCCTGATGTATACATTTCTTGGTGGGCTCTATTTAATGATCTCAAAAAAGTATAACTGTGATTACTGAACAGGTATACATGAAAGAAAAATAAAAATGACCACTGGTAGTCTAATATGTCCTAGGTTCTTCTTAGAAATCAACTTGTGGCTGGGTATGGTGGTGCACAGCTGTAATCCCACCACCTGGGAGGCTAAGGCAGGACTGAGGCCAGCCTGGGCTACAAAGTGAGTTCAAAGCCAAACTGAAGGACAAAAACAAACCAACTTGTAAATTACCAGTTCATTTCAGGGTTCAACTGAACAAACAGATTTTCACCTCAGATCCAAGAAATTAATGAATTTTTATTCCATGTTTGCCTGAGTTCAAATGCCAAAGTCAGTTATAGAGAAATTGGCCACTAATTTCCTGATACTGACTGAAGTACCTAATAAAACCACAACCTGCCAACTGGTGTATTACTTTTTATGTTGTTTTTTTTTTTTTTTGGCGGAACCGGGGATTGAACTCAGGCCCTTGTGCTTGCCAGGGAAGCACTTACTCCACTGAACCATATCCTCGGCCCAACTGGTGTATTACTTAAAAAGAGGTAGCACATCATCTGTATTTCTTTTTTTTTAATGATAATTTTCTCCTTTTTTTTGTATTTTATTTATTTTTACATTTATTTATTTATTTGTGTGTGTGTGTGTGTGTGTGTGTGGCCAGCTCAGCCCACCTGGGGGAAGGGCTGGCTGGCATGTGGTGCTGGGGGATCAAACCGCAGTCCCTGTGCTTTGCCAAGCTTGTTCCAAATAGGTGCTTTAGACCACTGAGCCAGCTCTCCAGCCCATCATCTGTATTTCTTTACAAGAAAAATCAAGCAAAACAGTAAGCAACAGAAATAATGACAACAAAATGAATTCAAACTAAGGATACTGAAGGAAAATAATATACTGAGTCATAAGTGAAATTTCAGTAAAAAATGAAGGACCACAGGTTCTATATGTGAGATACAAGTCCAATGATTAATGTAATTTTGGAAAATTAATAAATGGGAATGAAGATTTGTTCTCCTGGGAGCAGATAAACAGTGACATGTTTTTAGGTTGCTGTCAGAAATGTTGAACTGAGAAAAAGTGTTAATGATACAACAGATGGATGTGGTCACAGACTGCCACTGTCTGTGCCCCAGTGAATCACTATTATTTTGTTTTTTTGTTTTTTTTTTTT